TCCCTAAGTTGCCATCCTCACTGTCCCACTCTCAAGTGAGCCACTGACCCTTCCCTCTAGAACTCAGTTTGGCTTTCCCATCTTTTTCTTATTCCATACAGGAATTCAAAACCACCACAAGCCTTACCTTGTCTTTTCACCAAGTTGAAGTCATATCTATTTGACCTTGTATTTGCTAAATTTAAACACAGAGCACAGTGTGCCTGTAGTTCATTTGAAAACAGAAAATAGCCACTATGTAGATGCAATTTCTCCTGAAGCTAGGATGAAAGAGAATGAACTGCAACTGATAGATGTTAGTCACACTATTCAGTGCAGTAGTAGAAGGTGCTCAGTATACTGTGTTGGTACAGCATAAGAAGCTGTATAATGAAGAACAGATACCTGGTGTCTGTCTCTCTTTTTTTTCATTCAAGATGTCTCTAGCACTTGCTGTGCCCCTACCTGCTGCTGGACCTCATTCCTTTTGTGCTTTTGAAGAGCTCTGGGTCACTCTTCTTAGTCTGCCCCTCTAGATCTTTCCTCTCCCAGATCTGGTGGTGGTTTTCACTAGAGTTTTTTTTTGTCCCTCTCTCACTATCACATGAGAGTCTGTGTGTAGTACTGATAAGTTGAGACCTGTTTCTTGACAGCTGAAACATGGACCATGCAGCATGATCGCTTACTGCAGGAGTATTGCTTTTACTTCTGCTATTCAAACGTGAGGAGGTCTGTGCAATACTCTAACTCTTGGGGATTCTGATATGTCCCCTCTGGGAGTCTGATGAGCCTGAAGTTGCACATTATGCTTAGCCCATACTAAATCTGTGGAAGGTTAGGTGGTGTTAAACTTAAACCATGTTAGTCACATGTTAAGGGTTAATACTGTTTCTTGTTTGCACAGCTCTGACTTGCCAGTAGAGGGCTAGCGTGCCAGGGTGTGACTAGGAGGCAGGACACCTGGAACATTTGTGCACATGCTTGTGCTACAGTGCAGGGTGCTTTTAAAAGCCCTGGTGCTGTGGCGCATACAGTTGTATAAGTGGCAAAATGTGTGGTGCACTTTTGAACTAAAATGCATCACAGGTGTTTTAGTTCAAAAGCGCACCACCACCATTTTCTGCGCACTGACATGCATTTTGCCACTTATACAACTGCGCACACAGCAGCACAGTGCATGTCAGCTCAGACCCACTGGATCTCTGGCACGTTGTGGGACAAAAAGTTATGTATAAATGCCCCTGGACTCTATCCCTGTCTTGGGATGGAGGGGAAGGTGCTTAGAGTGGTGCATCCTGGAATGCTGGAGGACTGCAGATTGTTTGCTTTATCTCTGTAGAGTGGACTGAAGTTACCCTAACACAAACTAGGTAGCACAGCCCAGAGTTAACTTTTGCCAGAAGTGATGCAACTTTGAGATGCTCAAAAGCACTTAGCACAAGTTAATGAGTTTTACCATGCAGACACTTATGTGTTAAGTGTCCTTGATATGCTCTAAATGCAGTGTGTAAGTTCCAAAGTTTTGTTCATTTTTACCAATTGTTTTCTGTTTAATACAGCAGGTATGAGGGACAAGATATTTCAGCCTGTACACGTGGAGAGCTCTAGAGAAATTCAGGTTTCTTTTTTAAATCTGTTTGTTTTTTAGGCCCGTTTGTGCAACGTTTGGTTATTCGAAGTTCAACCAGTGAAGGCTTACTAATACCAGCTGACCGTTTTCTCCCTCAAGTAAAGGATGTGGAAGAAGATTCAGAAATAGAAGATTCAAAGTAGTCTTTAAATGTACTGTGCTACAAAGACTTTTAGCATTTTCTTCATTAGTAAATTCTCTATTTTATTTGTGCTTTTTAAATTCATTTCCCCTCCTTGAGAAGCTTTAACCATAACAGGTATTTGAATGCTAAATCTGAGTACTATGTCTTTTTGCCAATAGTGCAGCAAGCTTCATGTCTGTTTTTACCTGCAGAAATTTCCTGAGGAGGGTCTTTTCACCCAAGTAGCATCATCTTCCCTTCTATCCAAGCCGCTCTATGGAGAGTTGCTCTTGATGAGCTTGTCTGCATATCCACATGCATGGAATTCAGGGTAGAAATCTGACTATAACCATTCTTACATAAATTCCCCACTCATGGTCTGTAAAGCTGCAGAACATGGAAGGGTATATGTGAGTAGGAGGCAGTGATAGCTGTGAGATGTCCTGCTTTGGGAATAGTGCCAGGCCTCTGCCTTTGTATGTGAAGAATCAAGCCTTGTAAGGTTTGCCTGAGGATGTCAGTGCCTTCAAGTGTGAGAAGGGCCACAACTCCTGCAAGAATGATATGAAAGAAGCCGGCTGAGTTTCTTGTCTCCTTGGCATGCTTTGACTGTTGTGATGCATTGGCTCTTGGGTACTGCAAGTGATTATTTAAAGTTGGCTGGAAGTTCTTCATCAGAAAATCTTTTTAACTTTCATATTACTTTATCAGTAAAATGAACCTCTCAATGTTATTGGTTTTGATCTTTTTTTTTTTTTAATGTTTATACTTGCAAAAAAATTAAAAGGCTTGTTTCAAACCATTCAAAAGACAAAGGTACTGGAATTTTTTTGAGGACCATTTTGCATTTTTATTTTTTAATCCCTTGTGCTGGTTATAGTTATTTAAAGTAATCACTAAATAAAGCTTTCTACACCAACCAACAATTAGTAATATAACTCAAAATCTACTGTAGAAGTTAGCTTAGATTTGAGTGTATTAATCTGGTGATTGCAATTAAGTAGAATTTTATGGTCCTATTTTCAACATCCTACTTGAGTAAAAACTTCAAGACTAGCATAAAAAAGAATCATGAAGTTCTAACCAGTTCTCCAGAAGTCATTTTACTACAAGGAATTATGATCAAATCATTAAGCATTATTGCCACCAGGTGGCATTCATCTTCTGTGCAACACAACTTTGTTTATTGCCATTACCTATTTTCTTTCCATGGCTTATCTCAAAACGCAAATTGAGTTAATTTAGATGAAAAATGTAATGGAAAAAAAGGAATTGGATATTGATATCCATAGCTGAACTATCGGTAATTGTTTTAATTTTGCAATAATTTTTGGAGGAAATAGGAAACTTTTTGCCTAAATATTAAAACCAATCACTAAGTAGGTTTGACTAATAGTGCCAGGATGTTCGAGTTCTGACTACTTGTGAGATTCTTATATCATCCTGTCAAGCAGGGATATCAAAGTCATCAGGCCACGTGAGCCTGAAGAATCGCATGGGGCCAGTCTGTGGGTTGGATCATGCCCACAGACTGGCCCCATGGACCAGATTCAGCATGTAGGGCTGGTGTCATGTGCCACATGCAGCATGTACCAAATCAGTCCCATGTACCATGAACAGTGAGTGGACCCCTGGGCCGGGGCTTGTTCAAGGCATGTTGTGTACAGGTTTAATGTGAGACCCACAAGCAGCACCATGAGCAGGATCCAGCCTGCAGCCCAGATCTTTGTTATCCCTGCTCTAGAGCATCTGGGGTTA